CTTTCGAGTTGAGCAAAGTTCCCGAGTCAATCAAGGCTGGGTACTTGAACTGTAGAGTACGGCCATATGTGCCGAACCCCAGAAGATGTTTCCATTGCCAGAGGTTCGGCCATAGTGCCCAGAGCTGCAGGGGCAAGACCACGTGCGCCAAGTGCGGTCAGAACGATCACCCGTCAGACAACTGCGCAAACCCACCACACTGCGTCAACTGCGGCGAACCACACGCTGCTTACTCTCATTCTTGTAAAAAATGGAAAGAAGAAAAGGAAGTAATTACCTTCAAAGTAAAAGAAAACATCTCGTTTCCTGAGGCCAGGAAGCGACTTTTTTTTCTACAGAAAGGATCCTTCGCTACGGTAACACGCACAGGGGGCGTGTCACCGAAAACCTCGGTGGGAACCCAGATTTGTCCCAAAGACCTGGCAGCCCCACCGACACCCCCTGCCCCCCCCCCCCCCCCCCCCAAGGTCGGCTCCACAACCACGTTTGTCGTTGGAGCCAAAAGGTTCACAGTGCCTGAATGGTGCTGCCGCGCCTCTCTTAAAGGAGGCAATGGACACCATGGCACCGAAGGAGGTATCCCCTCCAAAGGCATCAAGGGTGGTGCCTCTCGCACCACCCTCAGTCCCTAAAGAGGGTTTGTCGCAGACCACCTCCTCTAAGGAGCTGGAGCGGACACCCTCGTCGTCTGCTCGCTCTTCAGGCCGAAGCAGGGCTTTGCCCACTCCCGCCTCGACCAGCTCTCGAAAGCCTGGCCAGCTGGACGAGGCATACTCGACCGCAAGCCAGCAGTCAGTAGATGAAATGATGGATGAGAGCATGCCACCCTCTGACGACGACCTGGTCCCTTCACGTGCTGAGTCATCAGTACCTTTTCAGGTCGTAGAAAAGAAAAAGAAAAATAAACTTCCTAGAATTTTGCCCCCAAAGGGATCGTAGTCCCTTCAGAAATGAATCATAAGCAAGTGTCCACTTAGTTATCTTACGGTGTCCTAAAGGCCAGTTATAGTTTTAATTTTAATTTCCAATTTTAATCTTTACCATGTCTCTGTTTTTACAGTGGAACTGTCGTGGGCTTTTTTGTAATTATGATGATGTCACTTTTTTATTAGACGAACACCGCCCTGCTGCCTTCTGTCTGCAGGAGACGCATCTTAAAGAAACTAGGTCAAATGTACTCCGCCATTATCAAGTGTTTAGACAAGATAGGTTGCACTTCTCTGTGGCGTCTGGTGGTGTTGCTGTAGTTGCCCAGCGCACAGCCCCATCTGCCGAAGTGGCTCTCTACACCACTTTCGAGGCTGTGGCTGCCCGAATACTGCTAGACCGGGTAATTACTGTTTGTTCAGTGTACATATCACCGGGATACCAGCTGCAGTACGAAGAGCTAGAGGATCTTGTTAGTCAGCTCCCAGCTCCATACTTAATTTTAGGCGATTTGAATGCACACAACCCTATGTGGGGGAGTGGTAAACGGGATGCTAGAGGAGCACTTGTTGAACATTTTCTTTTTTCCGCGGGACTGTGCTTACTTAACACCAAAGAAGCCACACACTTTAGTTCAGCGACCAGGACTTTTACTTCCATCGACCTTTGTATCTGCTATCCTTCGCTATACTCGCTGTTTTCATGGAGGGTCATCCCAAACCCATATGGAAGTGACCATTTTCCAATTATTTTAGAGTTTAACAGTCCTCCTGCTGGTCTTCAAACGCGTACCCCTCGTTGGAAGTTTGAGAGGGCTGACAGGGCAACATTTAGCAGCTCTTCAGTTTTAGCTTGTTCATCACTTGATGATCTTTCCATCGATGATGTCACTCTGCATATCACTCGACACATATTGCAGGCCGCAATCATCGCCATTCCCATGACGTCCTCGCATCTCCCAAAAAGGCCGAAGGCGTGGTGGAATAAAGACTGCCGCCAGGCAAAAAAGGAACAGAATCGTGCATGGGGTATCTTTAGGCGTTACCCTACTCCAAGTAATCTGATTGGTTTTAAAAGAAAAAGGGCCCAGGCAAGGTTTATTCGAAGACAAGCCAAGCGGCAAAGCTTTAGAGGATATGCCTCTTCAATCAATAGCAGTGCATCTATAAAGGAAGTTTGGGACCGCGTGCATAAAATTGAGGGTTCCTACGGCGCTTTCTCTGTCCCACTCTTGTGCCGGAATGGAATATGTCCTGCAAGCCTTGACGAACAGGCTGACATTCTTGGTGAGCACTTTGAATTTGTTTCTAGTTCCGAACACTATACGCAATCATTTAGGCGGCATAAGCTACATGCAGAAAAAAAAGATTGTGCCTACGACCGGTAATTTGCAAGAGCCTTATAACTCTCTTTTCATGCTGCACGAACTGCAGATAGCTCTCGATTCATCCGGACAGACTGCCCCTGGACCGGACGGTATCCACTATCAAATGCTTCAGCGCCTTCATCCATCTACTCTAGAGCTCATCTTGTATCTTTTCAACCGAGTTTGGGTCGAGGGTCTTTTCCCATTGTCCTGGAAGGCTGCCGTCATTATCCCCCTTTTAAAGCCAGGAAAAGATCCTGCCTGCGCCTCCAGCTTCAGGCCTATAGCACTAACTAGCTGTCTTTCGAAGACATTAGAAAGGATGATCAACAGAAGGCTGATGTTTTATTTAGAGAGTAATAATCTTCTTGACAGGTACCAATGTGGCTTTCGTTCAGGACGATCCACGGTCGACCACCTAGTTCGCTTTGAGACTTGTGCGAGAGGCATTTGTAAATAAGCAGCATTGTGTCTCTATCTTTTTTGACCTGGAAAAGGCATTTGATACAACCTGGCGCCATGGCATACTGCAGGATCTGTTCAGCTTAGGTGTACAGGGCCGAATGTTAAGTGGCATTCAGAGTTATCTCCAAAACCGGACTTTTCGCGTGAAGCTTGGGACAACTTTTTCTAGAGAATTTACGCAGCAAAATGGAGTACCTCAAGGTGGTGTACTTAGCGTCACTCTTTTTATTGTGAAGATGAACTCAATTGTCCGCGCAATAGCTCCATCTGTTCAGTACTCACTGTACGTCGATGATCTGCAGATTTCTGTATCGTCTTGTAATCCATCCATATGTGAACGTCGGCTCCAGCTCACAATCAACAACTTGGTCAAATGGGCTGATGTCAACGGTTTTAAATTTTCTCCTGAGAAGACCGTCTGTGTGAGTTTCTCACGTCGCCGCGGAGTTTTGCACGAACCTTCTTTGACTATGTATGATGTTCCTATCCCAGTGAAAACTGAACACAAGTTTTTAGGTTTTATATTTGATTCCAAATTGACTTTTGTTCCGCATGTCAAGAGCCTGAAGATGAAATGTTTTAAATCGCTTAATATACTTAAGGTCCTGTCGCATGTCTCCTGGGGTGCTGACCGTCTTTGTCTCTTGCGTATCTATCGGTCGGTCGTTCGATCCCGACTTGATTACGGTTGTATTGTGTATGGTTCTGCCCGGACATCGGTTCTCAAAATGCTGGACCCTGTTCATCATCAAGGGTTGCGGCTTGCTAGCGGCTTGCTACCGGTGCTTTTCGCACATCTCCTGTTCTCAGTCTATACGCAGAAGCAAACGAGCTCTCTCTGGAGAAAAGAAGATCTGAACTGGGCTTCACATATTTTATGCGAATTAGATCGGTTCCTAACCATCCAACCTTACACTGTATGGAACGAATACGCTACGAGCGAACCTTCAGTAACAAGCCTTCAGTTGTTCCACCTCTTGCCATGAGGGTTCGCAATTCTGCAGAGTCTGTAGGACTGGACGTGTTGCCTCCAGTTGTACAGTGTTTGAGTTCGGCAGCCCCTTGGGACCTAGTTCCCATTCAGTGCGAACTGGAGCTAACGAAATTCAACAAAAAAGACACTCCTCGCGAAGTCCTGAGACAAGAATTCCTTGAACTCCAAGTACAGTATCACGACTTTATAAGTTTTTACACTGATGGTAGTAAAACTGATTCCTCTGTGGGTTGCGCAGTGGTCGGGCCTGGGATGCAGCTTGTCCGGAGAATAAATGGCAGTGCCTGTAGTTTTACGGCAGAGCTCTGGGTTACTCCTCGCCACAGATAAGATCCTCAAACAAAAGCTTCGCAAGTCAATTGTTTACACCGACTCACTTAGTGCTTTACGAGCTCTTGCCAGAGTGGGAAATGATCGCAATCCACTTGTAATAGAAATAAGGAACAGGCTAATTTCAGCCGCAAAACGGAAGAAGAAAATAATACTATGCTGGGTTCCTTCACATGTCGGAATTGCCGGAAATGAGGATGCTGACAGAGCAGCAAGTACTGCTAAGGATCGAGAAGTCGACCTGTGGAAAATACCTTACAGAGACTATAGGCATGTTCTGAAATTTTCCATAAGACGCAAGTGGCAAGAGGAATGGGACCGAGAAATAAACAATAAGTTGCGCGCAGTAAAACCACTACTTCAGGAATGGGTGAGTGCACGACACCGCGAGCGTTTTTATGAGGTGGTTTTGTGCCGACTGCGAATTGGTCATACCCGTCTTACCCATGGGCATCTTTTGCGTGGGGAGGATGCTCCGGAGTGTGAACACTGCTGCATTCCGTTAAGCATCCTACATATCTTACTTGTATGCCCTTTGTATGACCAAGAACGCCACAGACACTTTGCTAAGGTTTACCAAGAGCATACACCATTACATCTCGCCCTTTTACTCAGCGATGAGCTGTTGATTCCACACAAGTGTGTTTTTAACTTTCTTAAGGATATAAGACTCTTGGACCAGCTATAATTTTAATAGTTCATCGTATTCATTGCCACATTTTATGCGCTTGTACTTTCATGATCATTGTTTTATTAAATTACAAGCTACTATAGCTCTTTCTCCTCTTCAACCTTGATTCAGCAATAGTCCTAGTTGTTGGCGCATTATAGCCTTGGTCGCTGCTGCGCCATTAAACCCCAATCAATCAATCAATCAAAAACAAATGCCAGCCAGTACGCAACCATGTCTACTTCGCGATGGCCACCTGTGGCGGTGATGCTGACACCCTACGGGCAACACTGCTAAATGGCGTCAATCATTTTTCCGGTGACCATCGGTGTTGTGCTTCGGAATCACAATGCAAGGAGGTTGGGCACGTTCCGAGTACGCTGCTCGTTAAAGATCCCGTAGCTCTCGATCTCTTGACAAATTTTATCAAGTCGACGACAGTGTACAAGCACGCACACGATTTTGTGAGGTCGAAGGACACTTTCTACGTCGAATCCTTCAATAACACGGAACTCATGTACCTGGACAAACGCATCCACTACCAGAACGAGACATATAACCTAAGACAGAGCCTCGCTATGCTCGATTGGAACGAGCACGTTGGACGAACGAGCACGTCGGCATACCGCATGGAGGATTGCCGGCACCCGGACAGGCAGGGTGGGAAGAAAAACTACCGCAAAAAAAGTTACAGGTAAATTCCCAGATTATTTTCACCTTTTTATGAAATGATTGCTTTTTATTTCATGTTTGTTTTTTAAAGATTCGTGAAAAGCATTTGTGACCTAATCTGCCAAGCCGCGTCCAAGGACAACACGGCCTCCTCGGCAAGTGGTTCTCTCATGGAAGACGACGATGAATAAAAGGTACGATCAAAATCTAAATAAAGTTCAAGTTTAAAATAATTCTAAGACTGTTAATTCATGCTATTTCTACCATATTCAAATTTCAACACTCGTCGCAGGCAGCACGAATGGATCACTGCATGCACTCCTGGCGCCAACGAGTGCCCAATCAACGGTCCTGCGACGTCCAGTGCTCAACCACGCATCACAACCCGACCTGTTTGAAAAATAAATGCTTTCCCGTACTTGTGGTAAAAAAGGCAAATTTTCTACTCAGCGTGATCTTTTGTGGACCTATGGTCTCGTAGCCAAGATCGGTAGTTCACAGTATTTGGATGGCGAAGAACGACGGATTCATAATTTCCAGCGTAAGTACTGTTTTGACATTGAATTTCACATAAAATGGCATTTGCACAAATTGTGGCACGATGCCGAACTTGCATGATTACATTTCTTTCATAGGAAAGATAATCATACATAATCTACAAATATTGCAGTTTTAATTTTAATTGGCGTACAGTGCGAAAGACAAGTACAGGCATAAAAAACACAACATAGCAGTGCATTCCTTTCTTTCTGTGCTTGTAGACAGTACGGGGCAGTTTGCCCCGCACGACTATATTCAAGAATTGCCAAATCTCCCAAGCGCCCCTCTTTTTCTAGTTGATTTTCTAGATTTATAAATTAATTAGGAATTATAACGATTTGTCAGCCTCAAAATGCTCATTCATGATACCATCTGTGATGAAGGACCTGTGTACGTGCAATCCTGAGCGGAGTACTTCAAATCGGAAACTTCGCACAACATTCGCCACTCGAGACTCCCCACCATACCAAACGGATATAAGAATGCGCCTATTCACTTTCTACGAGATCTTAGAGAACCGCCTTACGACATGCAAAAACCCACAATGGGTTTACAAGCAGCAGTTCTGTCATACCTGGGCTTGGCGATGTTGAAAACCTTGCTCTGTTTTATTTCGAGTTGCATAGCTAAATCTACATGTACACTGACCAATCAATGTCCCCTATTCCCACTTGTGTCCCATGTAGCAAATCCCGGCTGGGCTCGGGTATAGATCTCGCAAGTGTTGAAGGACACATTTCGGCATGATTTCCCGCTTGGCGATCACGTCGAGCTGGCCGCTGTGCCTCTTTTGTTCTATGGAGGCCGGGCGACTGCCAGGCGCCTAAATTGACCAAGCAGCCCCAAACCCTATGGTAGTACACCTTCCAAACTCCTGGATTTTTTGTGGTGATGGTCGCTGTGCTTCAACCACTCTGACAGAGCCCCAGACAATTATGGAAGGGCTGCAGAGGCAATCTGGGTATTCCATTTCTCATTGGACTGCGAACAAACGGGAACAGAACAAAATGAAAACTTCGTAATACCTGCTGTCTTCTTATAAATGACATAATTTGCTATTATTGCTAGTTGCGCGCTATTTTACGTGTAGAAAATCTTGAATTTGCCGATTCAATCTCCGTCTTTCCCGCTCTCTTTGCTGATACGCAACACATTTGTTGGCTGTTTAGTTCTCAGTTACATTTGTTGACAGAAACTAAATGCAACTTTGGCCACGAAGAACTTTTTTCAAAGACTGAAGATGCATGAAAAAATCGTAAACCGATTTGCTTTTATGGAAGTTTGTTTTTTACTTTTCTTAGTTCCTTCAACGAGGCAGCCATTACCCTAGAAAACACCTGTAGTATGAACATATATATTATGCCCCAGAACTGGTCAGACTGTGTTCATTTCGATACATGACTATATTGTCAAAATGCGACTAATTTTAGATGCTTCGCCCTCTTACTCCAATATTTTTGACTTGTATTTACTTGTGATTATTATTTTTAAAAAAAACACGAAATACTGATACAATCACTCTTCAGTGTGCCGTTGTTAGAACGACCAATTCTCAACTCTCTGGGTAGAGCTCAAAGTTCAAATAAAAATACCCATCTTTTTTTCTTTCTACTGTGATGTTCAAGTTCCGTTCACTCGAGATAAATATGTGATATTGTAGCGTATGTGGCCGCATGCGGAAGTGTCTGAGTGTGTTTTAAAGCTGAAAAAAGAAAAAAAAAAACAAAAAAAACAGGAGAAAAGCGAGCCAGCCTGAACCCTCACGAGCTCATACCGAGCCTGCCTAACTAATCCCTGGTGTTTGGGATTGAAGCAGAGAACCTTGAAGGGTTACAGAGCTTTTGTCGGGGGGCCGGTAAGCCCATTAGCACTCGTGCGAGAAGGCCGTAAAAAGCGAGGAGGAAAATGGAGGAGGAAAGGGGAGGAGGAAAAAAAGAAAAGAGGGGGAATCTTCTGCCACGCTGAAGAAAATTTTGAGTGCCCGCCTTTAACAGCACTCTGACGGATGCGCAGTGCCATCGGGTGAGCATTTGTTAAAACTGATGCGCAGCAGCCAATGGGAGCCTCGTCGACATGCGCTAGCCAATAGGACCAAAGCCGAAAATCCATCAGCTTTACTCCTATCCTTTGGGATCAAGGAAACTAGCTGCCGTTGTCTAAGCCTTTCACGTGGTTTCAATGCTGGGAGCTGGCTTCACTTAGTGAAAGGATTTAAAGTGCCGTTTTCGTGCTTCAAACTGATGATGGCGGCTCGCTCCATGGGACCCCCAGTTAATGCTTTCACATTAAAAAACCTAGTCTGTGAGAATGCGATATTAGCAATGGTGATAGAATGCAGAAGTTTCAGTAGATAACGTTAGACAAATCAGAAAATTAAAAAAATTAAGAATTTCTATGCGTTGACACCCAGTTTTTTTGCATACGCTGCTACGTACCTCACCTGGTTTACGGGGAAAAAAAGTGAAGGGGCAGACCGGGGCTTGGGTTATGTCGCTTCAGTGTTGAACTTGAAGGCTTTCAGATTTGCTTTTGCTACTGGAGCCACCGTCTCCCACATTTATGCCTCCTTAGTTTCTGACACCAAATTCATGAGTGGGCCGTTCTAGGGCCCACGCACGGATTTCTAGAGCCTTGCGCGGATAACAGTTTGATTATCCGCATCCGATCCGCATCCACAAGCATCGTATCCGTATCCGAACCGCATCCGCAAAATGTGGAACCAGATCCGACTCATAATACAGGTATTCATTGTATATCATAACACCAAGCAAGAATTAAAAAAAAAATAAAAATACAAAAGCACTTTTTAATTGGTTTGCTTATCTTTGTACAAAAAATCTTCAGGTGACTATTCAAAGGGGATGTCATTTTATCATTATCAGTTTCATCGTATTTATATTAAAAGCGATCAGCCTTCCCGAGATACTGCGCGTCGAAGGAAAAATGACTTCAATTATGTGATCGTCCTAGGAGCCTGCAACACTTTACCCAGTAGTGCTCAAAAAGGATGTCAAGGTACTTCTTTGTTTTTTTTAATCATGACCACACTAATCTTTACGGAGAGAGGGACGTTTCGTCTACTTTCTTGTGACTTGTACGTTTGAGGTTTTCTTTGCCCGGAAAAAGTTTCCGCTCTTTCCCTGCCAAAGTACTACCTTTCTTGGGACAATTGATGTTTTTGACCAGTGGAAACGCACTAACTGAAGCGATCTTCAGTGAGAATCAAATATTTCTTAGGATCCCTACTGTTTCTTCGAAACGCGTTTTCTGGAAATACGTTTCATGGACATACATTTCATATACACTACGTTTTCTGGCCACATGCCCCTGCGACGTTCTGTTGACAATGCATTTCTTCACTAAGCCGCTAAAAGCTAGTGCACGATTCACTAAGGCGAGCTTAACCAAACCATACCCCTCTCCCCCTGTAATCCAGGCGAAATGCAAAAACTCAAAACTCGATTTAGTTTCATTGTTTTATAGAAAAAAAAATGCTCACGAAAGAATATTTTACTATAGCGAAGTCCGTTGCTTGCATACGCGCTAGAAACACCGCCGATCTGCATATAGCACGAACGTTTGTTCCGTGAAAGAATGTCACCATTATGTTCTCCTAGTTCGTAAAAAGAAAAGAAAGTCTACAAGAAAATAGAAAAACCGACCAGGCGCAACGAGCGAGCGAGCGAGCGAGCGGACCAAAGAAACGACCAAGAGCAATGCTGGGAAAGCGGGAAAGCCCGCGGTCGGGTTGGCAAATACTTTGGCGTCGGGCCAAGTCGGGCGCCTTGTCAATTGCAAGCTCTTGCGGAACTTTCTTGTTTGGTGCGTAGATACGTGCGTCCGTGCACGGCGGGCTATCAATGCACGGTTGGGACGCTCTGCAAACGTCTGTGTAGGAAGTTCCAGCAAAGCTTTATTTACGCTTTGGCTTTGCCTAAAATATTGCGCAACCGCGGTCGCGACGGGCGGGAAGAAGGAGCGGGTTCGCGGTGACCTTACTTTGGCGGAGACAGACTTTGACCTAACACTCCGCGATTACGTTAACAAACTCTTATTTTGTTATCTCCATCGTTTTCTTTTCGCACGGATACAAGACCACTTTGGGGTCGTTCACGGAGTAAACGCGTAAACAAAAAGAAGTGTCTTTCCCTCCTTCGTCTTACTTTGTCACGGACGTCCTCCAACTGTAAGGTCCGCAGCCGCGTCATTCGGGTAGGATGAGTGTTCGGGGATCGCAGAGTCCGCGCTGGGGTATTTGAAGGGGTGGGCGTTTGTGTTTTTTCGGAAATCGATATTGGCCCAAAAAATGTGGTGGGCGATGGCTCGGGGATGGGCGATGACTCGGGATATTACGGTATATATTTGTTTTAAGTGCTGTACTAACGAAGGGCACTTTGTGTTGTGTTCTGATATGACGTGTTGTGACGGAACTCGATGCTTGTGTTTTTACTTCTGAGACATCCCACAAATGTACAGTGCTGTAGGCATTGCAGAGCAGTTCCGAAAAACCGCTTGCTACCGGTTTACTGGTTCACGACGTACCAGATTTTCGTAAAAAGTAAGCAAACGTAAAAGAATGGATTGCAAGCATCTCGGCTGGTGCCTCTGTCGTGCAATCATGTTTGCATGCACGTGAGGGAAACTTCGGCAGGCTTGCAGTTGCACGTGCTTCGTCGCGCGAGCGGAGACAACAGCTGTTCGATCGAAACCAAAACCATGCCATCCGCTGCGTCGCCAACTGAATCCCAAAATTGTATGGAAACTGTAACCGTCGAGCATACGACAAAGAACAGTCCAGCGGTGCGTGCTTGCCAGGCCGGCAAACAAGGTACAAGCTAACTTTACACACAAAAAACAAGAACCTGAGCGCGTCGATGC